CTAGGAATTGAACCGGTGCCCCATGCAGTGTGAGCAAGGAGTCTTAATCACTGGATGGCCAGAGAAGTCCCTGAAGCATTATATCTGAAATCCCAACCCATTCAATTAATATAAAATACAACATTTGCCTGAATTTAAGATTTGGTTGGTTAAGTCATTTTGGTTCACTGAGTCACTTTGGGCTAAGGATTGTACACTCCTAGGAGCCTGTTCACTCTTCTCTATGGTTAGGATTACTTTGGTGAAAAAAACCCGAGAGGCTCTGTCCATAGTCTGTGGCTCCAGTTCAGCTGAAGACGCCTGAGGTGCAAACGAAAGACTCCAAGAGATGGGACACGTGAGCCTACCTACAGCATCTGAAGCCCAGAGGACAAAGACCTGAACCTGGGACTCCGCCCTTGCTCCCTCGGAGCCGAGGATCCCACTGGCTCTCAGAGGCTGTCTGGCCAGATCCTGAGGCCTTTAAACGTAAGTGGAGAGTGAATGAAACAAGGGGGGGAGGCCAGAGGCTAGACTTGAACACTCTCCTCTAACACCTACCCCGCGGGAGAAGGTGGGGAATGGAGTTCTCTCAGCTCCAGAGTGTTGGGGCAGTCCTGTCTCAAAAGGATACTTCTGGAAATTAAGTCCATCTGGGTCTAAACAATCGCTAAATTAGCCTTCCCCTTGTTGGCAGCATCAAGAACGGCAGGGCGAAAACTAAATGAGAAACTGAGATAACAAGTTTGGAGCCAACTCGGAAACTTTTCAAGAAACATCCTTGTTGCTAATAACATGTCTGGGGGCTGGTGGGGATTCTAGGATTAGTGTTCAGGAGATAGAAATGGGTAACAACGGGGGAGGTGTGATCTTTCCTAAGTGCCACACCAGGTATTAAAATAAACAGGCTCTCTTGCCTCCTGGAGCTGGGGGTGGCAGGGAAAAGAAATCTGGGTCCAAGCAAAACCAGAAAAAGCATCAATGCCTGGGGTGGGAGTAGGAAGGCTCCAACCCAGAGTCCTCAGCTCTTCCTGTGGCCTCAGGAGCAATGCACCTGAGGGCTCAGTGTTTCCTAACTTCGCATTCGGTGGGAGGAGGATGTCAGGCCATCTCAGGAGGAGGTCTCTGGCCAGTGTGGCCTGCTTCTGGAGACTGAACTGCATTGGGATGTACGGGCTTAGCAAGGCTGGCCCTTGGCCTGGTGGCTCAGAGGAGTGGGATAAAAGCAGCAATCAAGACAGAGGGTCAGAAGATGTGGCTTTACTTCCTCTCACCTGAAAAATGGGGATAACACTCTCAATTCACGGGACAGGCAGGCAGGCACCTTGTGCATGAGTGCTTTGCCATTTTTCAGCTGCCAAAAAGTGTGCCGTTACTCCAGGAGAGGCAGTAGGCAAACAGGTGTCTTTCTCTGGCAGGGAGTCTCAACCCTGCCCTTTTAGAAACACCTGGGGAATTTTTTGAAATGCAGGTTGTCCCAGGCCCTACCCAACTGGCTAAGAATTGTCAGCCTTTCATGAGAGCTCTAGGATGTGATCAATGTGCACCCAAGAGTTAAGAGCTTCTGCCCTAAGGATTTTCTTGGCCAAAACTGACATTCTTAGTTGGTGAATCCAATCAGATCTCAGTAAGGCCTATCCCTCTTCATATCTCTGCCTCTGAACCCCCACAAAGCCCACCGTGACCCCACTTCCCTGCCAGTTATCCCAGTTAGAACTCGGGCCAACTGTAGCCAGCATGTGGCGACAGCCCAAGAGGTCCTAGCTGCGATCAAGTTTCCATGGTGTTTGAACATCCACTTAAGCGGTTACTGTGAGGAGCCCTGTGCACCTTCCCTACACCGGTGACTGAGGGGTCCCAACCCCTCAGCCTCGCTCCCCCATGCCAGGCTGTAGGAGACCTCAGAGTCCAGTCATCAGAACCAGGGCCAGCGCCTCTGGCCTGACCACACCTGGCTTGTGTGTCCCCAGCCACACAAATGCAGGTGATTAGATCTGAACTCCTTGGGAAGCTTGATTGAAAGCAGCATTAATTCTATCCACTTGGGAACATGCAGGCCCCCAGTGCAGATCTGAGAGGCTTTTTATGAATGGGTCAGTGAAACGTCCGGGGTGTCCTCTCTGCCCGGACACCGATGGGAAGCTCTGCTGGGCTCCTCCTGCCCCTGTGCCTGGCTGGCTGGCTGCCCCTGGCCCATCCGCTTGGGTCCTGGAGGGGACCTGCCAGGGAAGATGGACTGGCTGCACTGCCTGCAGCGAGATGCCTGAGTGGTGATGGTGGTGGTGACGGCAGCGGGGGCTGGGGAGACAGGAGCCTCTGAGGCGTGTGATGCTTCCTCAGGCCCATCTCCACATTTCATCTGGCTAAACCCCCGGGAGGGCTGGGCAGCCAAAAGGCAAGCTCTAATAGCATGGTTATTAATACCCCATCCTTCCCCTGGCCCGCTGTGTTCTGTCCTCGAGTTTCAGTTCTGGGAACAAAGTACGCAGCACAAACTTCATTTTGTGTAAATGAGAGTTTATTGACGAAGACAAAGTCAAGCTTCCCCTGCCCCCCACCCTCCCCCAGAACAGATCCCAACAACAAAAGAATGGTAAGTTTTCTCAGGGCAACGCTTACCCCCCTCCCCTTCTCTCCAGTCCCAAGGTTCGCAACGCAGACACAGGAAACAGGCTCGGGCGAGGGCAGACACTCAGGGAATCTCTGACCAGCAAGAGTCCCGGGTGTGTGCACGCTTGCCGTGCCCTTTGTGAGGTGCCCGCTGACGTTACAGAGACAGGCTGCAGCGGCGGACAGGGGACTGCAGGGCAACCTCCGCTCGTCCCGTTCGGCCAAGCTCAAAACGGGCCCCGGGGGACACTGCGGTGGAGGGACAGGCTCTGCCTCTTCAGGAGAGGGGTCCCAATCGTGAAGCAGAATCCCTCCCCAGCAGCTCAGGGGCAAACCAGGAGGCGGCCTCTCGAAGGAGTGGGGGGCTGGCAGACCGGCCGGGTCAGCTGAGAAGTCCAGCTGTGGCCCATGACTGCCGGGGAGGCTGAGGAGCCGGGTTTCAGGGGCGGAGGGACACGTCTCGGTACCACACTGTCCCGTCTGCTTACCCTGCCACAAGCTCTGCCGCCTGGGACTGCAGTCTGCTTCGAGGCGAGAACACAGCGTTTGGAGTGGGGACCTTCTTCACTGCTTGCATCGCACTGACTCCACGAGCAATCTCCCAACCACAGAGCTTCACCCACCCCCGCCCAGCATCCTGGGCCACTTCCTGTTCTTCACGTGCCTGCGGGGTTCCTGTCCCTCACCCCAGAACTCTCCTCGTGGAGAGTGTCAAGGCCTAAGAAACTGCTTTGGGGGACCTGCTCCCGTAGCTCTCCAAGTGGCACGAGTCAGGGTCATTTCACTTGCAACACGGGTGCAGGGTACTTTCTGCTGTTTTCTAGGGTTCTGCCTCTTAGACGCACTTTCAGGTCCAAGTCCCATGTGAGGTCTTGGACCCAGGCGCCTCTGATGAGAGCAGGGGCATCTGAGCAGCAGTCTCAGTCATGGACCCTGAATCCCCGGTGCCGGGCAGCAGCAGTGCCCACAGGTGAAACAGAGAAGCCTGCTGGACAGACTGGTGTTCCGGGCACAGATCACGCTTTGACAGCCACACCCAATGTGTCTAGGGGGGCAGGGCTTCTCACGTTTCCTGATCTTTTGAGAGATGACAAGGACGGCTTGGCTCTCTGAGGTGATCTCAACTGCCTGGGAGCCTAAGCAACACAAGTGCCGAGGGGATCAGAGAGCCGAGGGATGACTGTGGGCACCACCAGCTCACTTCCTCCCCACACCCACCCTGCTGGCCTCCGGCACCGAGGGGCCTCCATTCTGGCATCAGGGTTAACCTTCAAGTCCCTGGACAGAGACTCTGCTGCCACTGGATGCCAATGAATGGAGCGCCAGCATCTGTGTGGACTGTGAGGAGCCATGAGGAAGCAGGCACCGGAAAGGTAAGAGAAAGGCATCGAGGGAAGAAAGTCAACGAGAGGGTCCCGTGGTGAGAACAACTCTGACGGGGATCCGGAGACCCAGCCCCCACCTCTGCTACCGAACAGTCAGCAGTCCTCAGGCCGTAACATCCAGTTTGTCTTTTATCTTTTTTCTTTTAAGAAAAACAAGGTTGGATGAGTTATTATTTTAAGTAAGTCTGTTTCAACTCTAAAACCAAGATTTTAGATGTGAACTGGACCTGAGATTAAATTAAATCCAGAGCGGGAGATGGGGGAAGGGCATTTTGATTTCTGAAATTCTTTCATCAGTTTATTCATGGATTCGACCTCAGAAAAGGACTGTAGTAAGTTCTCCTTCTCAGCCTCGGTGCCGTCAGGCCCCATTTCCTACACCCTCCAGCACCATTCAAGGAAGACCACTATCTCTGGCTGCAGCGCATCAAACAAGATGAAAATACAGGGCAGGAGGAATCACAGGAAAAGGAGTTTGGAGAGAAAAGAAGGTGATCAGGAACAAGGCTGCCACAGGGTGGCAAGAAACTGCATCTCTTCCCTCCAGGACTGTGCGGTCGTCTTAACACTTCTCTCAGCTACACACTATTCCCTCTATTTCTCACATGTACAAAAATATAAAACAATAAAGTGCAGTTCACGTATCAGTGACACTTTTCCTTGCTTTAATTTTTTTTTGTTCTTTTTCTGCTTTTGAAACGAGCTCTCAATTACAAAATATCAAACTACACTCAAAACTGCCGCCACTGTAAGGACGGCATGGAGAAGCCCACAGTGAGGACGGAGAGCAGCGGGGGGCACGAGGTGGGGAGCGACGGAAGCAGTGGTTACAGACGGTCACAGGAAGCTAACACTATCCAACAGGCGGCGCCCTAACATTAGCACAGGTTAGACTAGTCACTACCGTGGCCGACAGCCTCGGTGTGTTCAGGTTCAGATTCTACATGGCGATAACGATTTCTTCCGGCTAAAGAGTTCTTGGCCTGCACCGATCACAGGGTGGCTGGAGGGCACCCGGCCAGCCTATTAGTTTTTCAAGATGCTGTCGTAGACCTGATAGATGTACTGGGAGACCTCGGGAGCTCTACACTTCAGCGACAGCTGTGAGGAGGAAAGGAGAAGGAAGATTATTAGCACGGAGGCTGGCATTCACTCAAAAGGTATCCAAGTACTCAGTTCAAGGAAAGTTCTTTCTGATACAAGGGGAGAAGGGCTCCTATCGTTGAGCAGCCAAACAAAGAGACCCTGCTGATAGGAGGTTCTGTGGGTTTTAGAATTTCAGTTTAATCAATGTCAAGCTGTGCTGTGTTTCCACCCACATTCTACGTGGGTCTGCAAAGTTAGGAAATAATTCACAGGAAAACACCGTAGGGGACAGATGCTTTCCTGCTTTGCTAGGAGTCACAGGGACTATAACCAAGTGAAAAGGGACAGGCTAAAACCCTGAACTTGGTGGTCATTTCATCTCTCTATTCCAGTTTCTGTCTTCACAAGGATGGTTATTTCAGTCCCAATTCAGGAGGATGGATAACTAAATAAAATAAAAGCAGGAGCTACATAGCTCCAAGTAACTAGTCTTCACTGTATTATATGGAAAAGAGCACACACTGCTAAGGAATGAAGGTAAGAAGCAACAGGGGCTTCCCTCGTAGCTCAGATGGTAAAGAAATCTGCCTGCAGTGCAGGAGACCTGGGTTCGATTCCTGGGTTGGGAAGATCCCCTGGAGAAGGAAATGGCAACCCACTCCAGTATACTTTGCTTGGAAATCCCATGGACAGAGGAGTCTGGTGGGCTGCAGTCCATGGGGTCGCAAAGAGTCAGGTACGACTGAGCGACTAACACTAAAGAGACATTTACCGAGTGTAACTGTTCCATTTATGACAACAGTGTTATCTTTCAGCTTCTGCCTCTAATTCAGGCTGGGCAGATACTTCTCATACCACTCTACTTGTTTATTAACACCTCTTTGTCTCATCTAACAATTACCAAATTAAAATATTAAAAAGATTTCAATGCTGAACACTGAGATTTTCACTTTGTGGGTCAACAAGTGCAAAATTTAAACCTAGATTTGGACTCCTGAATTGTACCAGATTAGGCAAATTCTGGCAGCTTCACAATAACGTTAACAAAAGAAGCATATAAACTGCATTTAGAACCAGAAATTTTAATCCCTGTTTTTTGTATTACTGACATCATTGCTTGTTTATTAAAGCAGATCAACAAAAGTTGCCTTTAACGATGTATCACCGTAAGATTTTACACTATCTCACCTCTTTATTGTATTATTAGAGACTAACGATTTAACCAAGTTCAAAGAGGTGAGAATATTTTTGGCAAAAATGTCAGGAAGATGATTGGTCAACCCCAATCTTTCTTCTTGAGAAAACTCACATCCTCAGAACTGAGTGAGATTTTAAAAATGCAAAACCAAGCCAAACAAAAAGAACATCAAAAGAGGCCCTGTTTAAAATTTATAGCTTTAATATGCATTCTCTAAGGCATTTCCAGAACTGCTGCTGACATCCATCAGGAAAGACAATTCTGATACACGTAAAACAAAATGTATAACTAATTTTAGAATATAAATATAAATAGAAAACAGCTCCCTACTTTGGTCCAAGTTGCAGCTCTAGGCCTTTCCCTGACTTTCTGCTCCTCCTCCAGCCTTTCCACTGTCAGTGTTGTAGACAGTTCTCGTGGGAAAGTACGTGGGTTCAGAAGAGGAGGAGGAGAGGAAGCTAAAAAGAGTAAGAACAACCTAAGGGAATTAACTCCCAGACTAAAGAGGGGGTAGTTCCTCCTCCCCCAAATACAGTTCTGTATTTTTTCACATCTTTGTAGCAGTATTGGAACTTCCAACCAGTTGGAGATCCACTTTTGGTTCACTAGTGATAAGAGAATGTTGTCTTCCTCAATAAAAGCCCAAAGTGGGCACTGGCAGGAGTCTGGATGCAGACAGTTTGAGCTGCTCTTTGGAGGTGGGAGGAGAGGAAGGGGAGGAGAGGGAGGGAAGGGAGGGTAAGAGGAGGAGGAAGAATCTCTTTCTCTAGACTGTTCTATCACCTCCCTCCCCCAGACACCCCAGCCTTTAACAACAGGTTAAGTTTAGGGTTAAATCCATTCCTTGCTTTTCAACAAGTACAGTTAAGACAAGCTGGAATACATTAAAAAAAAAAATTTTTTTTTTTGCTAATTCCTAAAGAAAGCAAGAAGGAAATGTACATAAAAAAAGAAGCTAAAAAAAAAATCTGATTTAGGATTCTGGTCTCATTTTATATGGGAAAAGACGTCTTTCCAGGATTTTAACTTTCGAAGCACTAACCTACTTATGTGTCACATCTTTCACACCAACCACTGAGGAATGCCACCCACCTAGACTCACCTCCCCTGCCTAGGTAATAAGCCAAGGACTTACACATCTACTTCAGGTTTATGACCTGGAACACATACTTCTTCACCTGGGACAAGTAATCTTTCCAAGTGAGACAGAGCTACTTATAAGAAGGCTCTTCCCCCTGGGGTAAACAAACCTTCTTAATGACACACAATAAGGGGATGAAGGAAGTGATTTATCATGTAGTGTACTACTACTCCAGAGAAGGCAACGGCACCCCACTCCAGTACTCTTGCCTGGAAAATCCCATGGACGGAGGAGCCTGGCAGGCTTCAGTCCATGGGGTCGCTAAGAGTCGGACACGACTGAGCGACTTCGCTTTCACTTTTCACTTTCATGCACTGGAGAAGGAAACGGCAACCCACTCCAGCGTTCTTGCCTGGAGAATCCCAGGGACGGGGGAGCCTGGTGGGCTGCCATCTATGGGGTCGCACAGAGTCAGACCCGACTGAGCGACTTTGCTTTCACTTTTCACTTTCATGCATTGGAGAAGGAAATGGCAATCCACTCCAGCGTTCTTGCCCAGAGAATCCCAGGGACAGAGGAGCCTGGAGGGCTGCCGTTTATGGGGTCGCACAGAGTCAGACATGACTGAAGCGACTTAGCAGCAGCAGTACTACTCAGTCATCAAAAACAAACACCAAATTACTAATACATGCAATGACTTAAGACAGATGTCAAGGATATTATGCTAAGTGGGAAAAAAGTCTGAAAAGGATAGGAACTGAATTTATAGAACCCTCTCAAAATGACAAAATTATAGTAATGGGAAACAAACATATCAGTGATTCCCATGGGTTAGGCGTGGGGTGAGTCTGTAACTATAAAGAGATAGCAAGGAGTTTTTTCATGGTGACAGAACAGTTCTGTTCCTGATTGTGGTGGTGATTATCACAAATGTGATAAGATTTCATAGTACTGTACACTCCTTAACCAAATAAAATAAAATAAAAATAATGATGTAAAAACTGGTGAATTTGGGTACAAGATATTCTCAATGAGGAACACTCAGTGGAAGATATATGAGAACTCTATGTACCACTTTTTATGTGAGTCTTAAATTAGTTCCAAATAAGCAGCTTTTAAACATTTTAAATCAACTATGTAACTACTAAGAGGTCTTTCTCAAAATTCTCACAATCCTTAATGAATACAAAGAATATAGTTAGGAAGTGTTTAGATATATGAATTCTTAGCACAACTTACCTACCAACAACTTCTGTGATCTTGAACAAGTTATTAATCATTCTGAACCTTGGTTTCCTTATCTGCAATCTAGGGGTAATCATGCTACTCTATTTTTTTTCCATTTATTTTTATTAGTTGGAGGCTAACTACTTTACAATTCATGCTACTCTAATCTAGCTGAGATGGAATACTGCAGACAATAAAATAATAAATGATAAAAAAACAAAAAAACACACACACAAATACACATACTTTGAGAAAATTTCTAGGGAAGTAAATGGAGCTATTTTACAAGACCTGATTTTACAGTAAAAACCTGTCCCTCCAGAAGAGCAGACAGCGCTTTCCCTTTCTTGGGGAACTCAAGGAAAATGTCAGGATAGTTTCTTACAAAAAAAGACAAAAGACTGGCAGCGGAGGAGGTGGGTGGGAGGAGTGTACAGTTTATGGGAGAAGTCTGAAGTTTCTCAGCTCACAAACGCTTGGGCAAAAAAATCTCGTTAGATGGGACGTAGTATCACTCATACACACATACTTGTCCAGCTTACTTCAAGGGAAAATAAGAATTTTCAGTTCAGGGTGGTACTACTTCCTTGATGTATGCTAATGAACACACGCTTGCCTTAAAATTAAGGAATGGAGTCACAGACTTTTCTCGGCTAAATGGCTAAAAAGCTCACTTAACCTACTGAATATAAAGCTTTATCAGTTATTCAATTTTTGAACCTTACTTTTCTCATCACTTTCCTTTCCCCTCATTCAAAATGGTGTACAAAAGCCCTGAACATAACAGAAGAATATGATATTTCCCCTATCCCAAGGGTTTTCTTATACTTTACAAAATGCAGATGACAAGCAGCATCTTACTGGGAGACGGTATTTTACAACAGTAAACAAATGGCCAGTGCCTAGGGTATTACGGCTGTGCTGATTAACAAAGCAACTGGCTCCTCCCCTAAAAATAAGGCCAGGATTTCCATTTTAGTCCCGCATGGCACTGAAGAAGTTTTCTAAAGTTCCCTTTCAGGCTATAAAAAGTGTGTCCCATTTTGCCTTAATTTTTCAACAAGCATTTAGGACATACAATATCACTAAAGAGGCTCATATGTTCAGGGATTTCTACATCCTTATGTCCAAAAGCAGGAATGGGCTTGATATGAGCTACGAAAACAATCCTCTTAGCAGCCTGTTACAGTACCACATGCACAGATATGCTAAATGAGCATTAACCAATACTGATGAAGTTGCAGGTTCTGTGAGCAGCTCTGTATATACCGGGAGGAATCTGAGGTACTCTGGCCGCCAGAGGCCCCTTCCTGGTGAATGGGGGCAGAACAAGGTCTTCTAAGAATGCAACTGGGGACTTTTTTGACTGCTTGTTTTGGATATCTGGGGAGTGAAGGAACTCCACCAGGTCTTTCCTGGCAAATTAAAAAATGCTAAGAAAAAAATGAAGGGCTCTTACCTCCCTCCATGAACCCCTCTCACCCATTCTGGAAAAGGCCTTACCGTGTAATTGGGGTTTCCTGGTTGGATACGTAGCTCGGCCAAAATCCAAATGCCGTTAGTGAGCTTCAGGGATTGGTACAGCATGTCCTGCCCTTCCACATTCCTCTTGGCAATAGTATAAACATTGTTGTTTTGCAACTTGCTGGAAACAGTGTCTAGAAACACAGATTCAAAATGCAACACCTTCAGCTAAAATACCCAGCAAGGACGCTGTGAGCCATGTGTGCTCAATTAGCCCCTGATAAGCACCGTCACAGGCATATATGCACATTTCAGAAAGCCCTTCTCCCACAAGAGCCAAGTGCGAGGAAGCTCTCCAAGTGCCTATGCACCACATTCCAGGCCAGAAAGTGGAATAAGGTGCGACTGAACATCAGTGTTCAGTAACTCCCTGTGGAGATTATGGTGGGTCTAAGCCATTGGTACCCTCAACCTACTACTAGGAGCTAGACCGGTAAAAATGCACTGAAGTGGACAGAGACAGAAATGGGTGAATGGATGACTGCCATGTTGGGATTCACTTCTGGAACACTGGTCCCAGATCCATAGGGATGCAAAGACTGACAACTGAATCTCCAACAATACTTCCCAAGTCACTACTACTCCACCATGAGTCACTCTGGCCTTACGTGCCAGGATCAGAAAAGCATCCAGTTGCAGAAATCCTGCAAATCAAATTTGTTAACCTTGACGTTAAGGTGTTTTTTGTTTGTTTTTTTTTTTTAAAGCAGGTGAATGATTTCTTAAACCTCTGGGGACTATCATACCCCAAATTAATAGTGAAACAAACTGCATCAACAAAAGTTCTTTAGAAAGACTGAAGTTGTGCAAAGATGATTATTCCAAGGCCTATAACCTCGACTAATTTCTAGTTAGAATGGAGGCCTTTGTAGTCATCAACACAGGGTAAGAACAAGTTGGTGTTTGGGGTCTTCCTTGTGACTACATAGCACCAAAGACATGACATTCTAGAATTAAAGGTCACTTCTCTCTCCTTGTTCTCTGACTGCTAACATGAGATGCTGCAGCAGCAGAGAAACTTTAAGAACAGAGATGATAAACACCATTTGTTTGTTGATAGTTTATTACATTTGCTTCTAATAAGAATTAACTTACTCAGGAACTAAATTCTCCCCACAAAAACACCAGTCATACTCTATGGAAGAAGGCTGCTGTGATGGACGGTCTTTCTATTCTCCTAGATGGTAAACCCTCTGAGCACAGGGATCCTAGGGTTTTTTATCACTGTGTTTCTCACAGTATTTGGGACACAATGAGTACCTGCCATCAATACCTGTGAATAAGCCTCTGACTCAGGTGTTGGGAGAGATGCCTATATGTGCATAATGCCATAGGCATTAAAAAACATTATTTAAGACATTTCCCCAAAGAAATACAAATGGCTGACAGACACATGAAAAGATGCTCAACACCCCTAACAGATAGTGATAATAGATAAATGCAAACCAAAATTAGAATGAGGCGCCACCTCAAACTAGCCAGAATGGCCATTATTTAAAACTCCACAAATAACAAATGCTGGAGAGGATGTGGAGGAAAGAAAACTCTCCTACGCTGTTGGTGGGAATGTAAATTGGTGTAGCCACTATGGAAAACAACATGGAAGTTCCTCAAAAAACAAAACAGAATTACCATATGATCCAGCAATCCCACTTCTGGACAAATATCCAGATGAAATTATAATTAAAAAAGATACATGCATTCCTATGTCCACAGCAGCACTATCCACAATAGCCAAGATCGGCAAATAACCTAAATGTCCATCTGTAGATGAATGGACAAAGAAGATGTGGTACATATCTACAAGGGAATGACTACTCAGCCATAAAAAAGAACAAAACAATGCTATCTGCTACAACACAGATGGAGCTAGAGATTATCATACTATGTGAAGTTAAGTCAAAAAGATAAATACCATATTATATCATATGTGATGTATCTGTGGCATCTAAAATATGACACAAACGGACTTATCTATGAAACAGAAACAGATTCACAGACATAGAGAAAAGACCTGCGGTTGTCATGGGAAAGGTAGGCAGGGGGAGGAATGGAATGGGAGGTTTGGGTTAGCAGATGCAAACTACTGAATACCGAATGGGTGAACAACAAGGACCTACTGTAAGTACAGGGAGCGATACTCAATATCCTGTGATAAACCATGGTGGAAAAAAATGCAAAAACGTGTGTGTGTGTGTGTGTGTGTGTACAAAGACACACTCTGCTATGTAGCAGAAACTAACACAATATCTATACCAACTACACTTCAATTAAAGCAAGCAAACAAAGCCAAGTTTAACTTTCTCTGGGGAGCTCTCTGGTGGTCGAGCGGTCAGGATTTGGAGACTCCACTGCTGTAGCCCAGGTTCAACCCCTGGTCAGGAAACTGAAATCCCGTAAGCTGTCAGGCTGCCAAAAAACCTGCCAGAGAAACTTCACATCTGTTTGTTTAGTTATTTGAAGTACGGCTGATTTACAAAACTGTGTTTCAGGTGTTCAGCAAAATGTTCAGACACATACATATATATATGTGTACGTATGTGTGTATACATATACATATACTTTTTCTAATATTCTTTTACATGATGGGTTATTATAAGATATTTAATATAGTTCCCTGTGCTATACATTAAATCCTTTTTATCTTTTTATATATAGTAGTATGGTATGGATGTGAGAGTTGGACTATAAAGAAAACTGAGCACCAAAGTATTGATGCTTTTGAACTGTGGTGTTGGAGAAGACTCTTCAGAGTCCCTTGGACTGCAAGGAGATCCAACCAGTCCATCCTAAAGGAAATCAGTCCTGAATTTTCACTGGAAGAGCTAAAGCTGAAGCTCCAATACTGTGGCCACCTAATTTGAAGAGTTGACTCATTTGAAAACACCCTGATGCTGGGAAAGATTGAAGGCAGGAGGAAAAAGGAGATGACAGAGGATGAGACGGTTGGATGGCATCACTGACTTGATGGACATGAGTTTGAGCAAGCTCCGGGAGTTGGTGATGGACAGGAAGCCTGGCGTGCTGCAGTCCATGGGGTCACAAAGAGTCGGACACGACTGAGTGACTGAACTGATGTATCTGTTAATCCCATATTCCTAATTTATCTCTCCTCCTTCCCTTTTCCCCTCTGGTAACCATAATTTTGCTTTCTATGTTTACGAATGTAAAAACCATCTATTTAGATATGGTCTAATTTTGCTGGTAATTCCTGCCCTGATGTCTTTCTTCCACATTCAACCCAGCGAGCACTCAGGGCAGGAGGTACTAAAGCCCATTCATTAAACAACTGCATCACACTTAGTTATGGCTTAATTTCCCTCCTTTTATTTACAGTTTCCACTAACACCAAGCAGAGCAGTTGTAACTCAAGAATGGGAGAAGCCAAAATGTTTATCTCAAGGTCATTATGTACAAGACTGAGGGAGGAGGGAGCCTCAATATACTTTTTCATCACCTTCTGGGGGGTCAGGCAGTTCTGGCTGTCACCTTGGTTCCCACTATGAAGGGCTCTTGCAGCTCAGACTGAGTTGCTAGGCAACATCACCAGCTGGAGTTTGGCTTACATCTTTTGACAGGACTGTCTTTAACACGAGGAGGATTGCTTTAAGTTGTAAAAGCCATTCCCAAGTTTCAAGGCTCTTGCCCATTTCCAAGGAAACAGAAAATACACACAACAGGATCTTTTGTTGAAGTTCTACCGTGCTGCACAGGCACATGTTCTAGACAATATATAGAGCAAGGCCCAGATGCCTACAGATATGTCATGGTTTTAAGTAAGAGGTGACAGGCTAAGTAAGTGGTGATAGGTTAAAAAAGAGATAATAGGCTAAGAAATGGAAGCACCCAAACACACATACACACTCACCCACTCCAGAATTAAAAAACGTGGCCAACAGCCAGACGAATAAGCCAGTTGAATGGATGTAACTTTAATGTGTTTGGAAGCATTCTGGTTAGGAACCTGGCTATGCGCCTACTGAATGGCTGTTATTGTGATTTCTATCAGAATACTGCATGGAGGGAAGAGGGGTCTATAACATAAGTATGTGTGAGTCAATTTTTCTGGTTGCACCACAGAGCCTGTGAGATCTTAGTTCCCTGACCAGGGATTGAACTCACACCCCTGCACTGGGAGCGTGGAGTCTTAACCACTGGATGGCCAGGGAAGTCTCTGTGAGTCAATTTATATAAACCTTAGACTGCAGGTTTGAGTTAGAGGGCTTGAAGGTGTAGGATAACCAGACTCTGCTTAAGTGAACTTATTAAGAACAGCAATGGGACTTCCCTGGTGGCAGAGTGGATAAGAATCTGCTTGCCAATGCAGGGAACATGGGTTTGATCTCTGGTCTGGAAGGATTCTACCAAGACCATGCTCTAGAACCTGTGAGCCACAACTACGGAGCCCAGGAGCAACAACTACTGAAGCCCATGCACGCCCTAGAGTCTGTGCTCCACAAGTGAAGCCACCGCAAGAAGAAGCCCATGTGATGCAATGAAGAGTATTTCCTGCTTGCCACAATCAGAGAAACCCTACACAAAGCAATGAAAACGCCACACAACCAACTTAGACAAAAACACAAGAAAAAGAATGGCAATGGGAGCCAATGTAAAGAGGCTTCCCAGCCAGACTGGGATACACTTCTTGACAAAATGTCACAGTTCTTTGTGTTTGTTTGTTTCTTAAACATATCCAAACTCCTGGGGAAACACAATGGAATCTTCTAGCTGTGAGACTTGGAGAATGAGAATGTAATGTAAAGACACTGAGATCTGCCCTACAGGATAAAAGCTTTTATTAAAAGACAGTCAAATACGGTTACACATGAATTAAGATGCAATTTCTTTGGGTTCATTTGTTTCCTACCTCGTATCTGACTTTGGGTCTGAGGCCTAAAATCTTAGAAGATGGGAATGTGGTCTTCCCTCCTTCATCTTCCTACTTTAGCTAAGGTCACACCTCTTCCAGCAGCCGTAAGAGTGAAGAAGGTACTCGGAGAGCGGGAAGAGGGACCTGCACATGGGATCCAGCTGTGGGACACTGTCATTAGCAAGTTGCAAACCACTGTGCCTGCTGAAAAGAACACCTTTCTTTTTTCCATCATTTGAACAACCAAATTGCATTTAAGTGCTGACTGGCAATATGCACCTATATTTATGAAATGGGGAGAACTGTGAACAAACAAAGAAACAGAACTCACCCTCACCTAGTCCCCGTGCTTGAATAAATATTTGTCCCTTATTAGAGAGCCTAACTAGAAAATACAGATGCAACATGTCTCTGAGTTTCTCAAAGCAAAACAAGCACTTAATTTAAAAAATAGATTTGTAGACCACTTGCCCGAAAGATTCTTTTCTGGATATGGCTGGAGAGGCAGCTATTTCTTACGTAAGACAGTGGTCCCAGATATGACCAGTGCTAGGAAGCAAGGAGACCCATACAACTGGATGCCTTTTCTGAACCAGTATTTTCCAGTATTTACACCACTAGTGACACACATCATAAGCACACTATCATATACACTTTTCTGTTAAGAACTGATAAATTATTAAGGCTTAGTAAGAGGGTTTCTTTTCTTCTTTCTTCTCTAGAAGAAATGGAAGAGCAGAAGTAAAAGCTCAATGCTAGGCTGGTCAGTACTTTAAGCCTGAGACTTCCTGTAGCCCTCAGAGTGTTAGCTCCATCTGTCAAATGTCTACTCTGGCACAGAAAAGCTATTTAAAGGGTTGGTGCTATTGTGATTAGGACAGATCAGCTGGAAAGAAGGTATTTTTAGCTTTCAACCCAGGGTGTTGAATCAGAAGGCACTAAACCTGAAAACATTCACGTTAATTGAGCCCTCAGACTGGAAGGAAAAGTATAGGTTGGGGTAGGTACTCCAGACCTCAGGGTGGAGGGAGAGGAAAAGCTAGAAAGGATTAGCTGCAGAAGTGGTCTTGTAAGAGACGGGCAGGGATTCAGTGTGGGAAGTGCTGGACGGCCTCGGGCTCCCAGAGAAGAGGAAGCGGCCGGGAGCGTTCCCTGGGCTCCATGTGCCGCACCGCCGCAGAGCAGGGCGTCACTGAAGAACTGATTCGCTGGCATCTGGAGCACCCAAGGCAGGCAGGAACTGGCACGGGGCCACGGCCGAACTGTTCAAAAAAACTGGATTTGTTCTGGGAAACTGTTTCTGTTTACATCAGAATACATAGCTCCACTGGGAGAAAGGCCAGACACCTTTTCTTTGGCAAGATCACAAATGTACACCAAAGTTCTGAGCCCCCATCTGGAAGCAGGGGGATTTTATTAATCTGACAGGCCAGACTAAAACCCTCAATCATCCAAACTTCTATTTTCTTTTTTGAAAAATCATGTCCCCTTTACATCAGACCTCTGAGACCAAATCTGCTTTCCCAGGACTCTGGCCTTTCTTTGCTCTCTGTAGGCCAGAGTTTTCCTGATCATACATGTTGAAGAACACTGGTTCTCCATAAGACGTTAGTAATAAGCATTTTGTGATTTTAAATCCCACAGGGAAAACATTCAGCTGATACTGAGTTAGTGGTTTCCTCAGTGCAGGAGGCCTCAGCTTCCAGTGTGCTCACGTGCAATGCAACTTCTAAGACGGGCACATCATACACTGTACTTCCCAATCTTATGACCACAGAACCCTTTTCTGAGGAACAAGTGTTCTCAGGAGTATAATATATGAAATGACCTGGGACTGACCACACAAGGGTGACTATAATCCTAGCCATTAGCCACTGTGGATTCTGCAGCTGAAGTTTCCTGAAAAAGAGGTTAAAAAATGGAAAACTGTCCAACCTCCCAACTCATCAAATGAGGCTTGTGGTAACTAACCAGTGAGCCTGGGAGAGACAGCAAACACCGTCACCCACCTAGAACATGGCATAAAAAGCAGCTCAATTTAAATATGAATTAAAAAAAAAAAACTCAGCAAAAATCTGGTTTGGTTTAATAGCTACATAACCAGTCAGGCTGAGAAACCTAGAGGGTATGTGGTATTCGTGAAGAGAATCAACAAACTGTCATGACAGTGGACATTACAGAAGACTGTCTTCCTCAAACACCTCTCCAAGGGCTAAGGAGAAGCCCTCTAAGAAAAATATCTGTCTGGAACACAGAGGATGGACATGTCACAGAGCACACCCACTCCCTGCAAACAAATTTTAAAGAACAAGTCGAAATGTTTAGCCAGTGAGTTGTTTTTCTTTCTCTGCCTCTTTCTCCCAAGGCAACACTCTAGCCACAGCCGGGAGGAGGAAGTGACGGGGAATGGAGAGGCGGCACTGACCAGCATCAGGGCCCACCCTCATTCAAACTCATCAAGTCTTATACTAACCTCAAGGAGAGACCGGGACAAAGGCAAGACCCTGAACCGCTTAGGGCTCCCTCCAGGCCTGAGGACGCCTCAGCGAAACAAGTCCTAGGCACTGCCAGTACGTATTGTTTTTGCTCCCCGGTTCCCAGTCTTAAGTTCTAGTGTAATAATACAACTAACTACTAAGGGGGCTGTAACTTTTTAATGGTGATTAAGGAGGTCGTATCTTCATATGACAGTTGACACAAGGAAAGAAAGAAAAAGGCCACCAATTAGGCTTTAATCAACTATGATGTAGTCTTATTTAATAATAAACAGAGGATTCCAAACAAGGATCTCAGACAGAGTCACTACTGAAGGCTGATGTAAGAGGACAAACAGTCCTTTTAATTCTTGGGGCAGCACATATCTTCAAGTGCCACTCAGTTACCTGATGCTTAGAATGTCCAAGTAACATGACTGATCCATGTTCAACTACTAGACAATGTGGCATGTGGATCCATTCTAGTTCTTAAATCTCAGCTTGTAGCTAATCTAGTGCCTACATCAAATCATCCCGTTTTTAATGAGAAGTCTGCAAAGTAATATACCCTTTACTCACTAGAAACAGGCAGCTGTGAAAAAAAGAGATAGGTAAAGAGAAAACAGAATTTTCAACTATCTAACTGAATATACTAAGATGAAAATGAAATTTAGAGTTATCACTCACCAGCATTTAAATGACATTCCTTAATCTGAAACTGAAGTTCATTTTCATTGGGAATATCCTTCCATGTTGCAAGGAAGACCTGGCGCTCTGTTCGGGGGAAGCAGAGATAAAGGCTGGATGTGCACAATCTGGCAACAGTCTGACATCTAAGCCCTTGCACCGTTTCTCCTGTGGGGTGCTGGCCCCAGCAGGACATCCAGCGGCAGTCTGCGGCTGGAGCCAGTGCTTAGCTCTGCAGAAGTGCCGCCTTCAGGTCAGTTAATCCCTCATGAGTCGGACTGAGATACACTGGGAAAAGACTTTACATCTAGGGTTGTTCTGGCTCCACAGTTTTCCTATTTAGGTGACTTTGGGTAAGTCTTGTTAACTTCCTGATCCTTAATTTCATCATATATTATACCTGCCACACTATCCAAAGACTTATTGTAAGAATCAAACCAATAAAATGCCAATACAACTTAATATGTATCAATATAAGCTAGTTTTATTAGCTGGTGGTTTCCTAAGCAAAGGAAAAGAGAAATATCAACCACCACATGGGGAGTACTAACAATTTATTATAAATTACTGAATTCGTATCTTGAGACAGCAAGAACTCAGGACAGGGCTAAGTGCTAAAACCTGCACGTATTATCTCAAGTCATTACAAAAAAGCTATTTCTGCTTTGTAAACATGGAAACTGAAACTCAAAAAAATTAAGCATCTCGCTATAGTCACAAAGCTAACAAACAGCCAAGCTGAGATTCCAATCCATATCTACTTGTCACCAAGCCACTTACTCTCTGCTGTGGTGACTGGCTTATTCAGACAGTGGGCATTGTGATTTAAAGACCAACAGCACAGCAAGATCAACTTTGACTCTGGCGAATACATAATTAGCAGTTATCAGAGCTTTAGAATAGCCATCCCCCATTTTTTTAAACCTCAAAATAAATTGAATTTCTGGGGATATACTCTACCTGATGTTCAGAGGAAGGGCAAAGGTATATTTGGCAGGACAGGAGGACATATTTACCCATTTTGCCATCTTCTACAAAAAGCACGTTGAGTGGGATGAGGCAGCTGAAGTAGAAGACATCAATATTGTTTTTCACAGCCACCTGCCAGGAAAGTAGGAAGGGAAAATTAGGACATCATAAGAAGGCAGGTAGGAGGGAAAGAACAGTTACTGTCTAGAAATATACCATCCAATTTCCTTATCAAGACACACCAGCCCATATACTACAAAGCATGTCCCTACTTATTCCACTGTCAGAGCACCATCAACAACCTGCAACTCTGCCTCACTCTAGGAGGGATGAATTCAAGGCATAAATTCTATGCCTATAATAATCTACTTCGTTATTTCAGTAGTAGCTGCTGCTATCACTTACTAAGTACCTGTACTAACAGGTATTTCTAATCTTCATTATAACTCATTATATCCTCACTATAATTATCCCAAACAAAGTAGTAACTGGTACTCCCCTCTCATTATCCTGAAGAAGAACTGAAAGATTAAGTAACATTCAGGGCCACATTGTAAGCACACAGAAAAACAGGATTCAAATGCAAAGTTGACTCTACACTTTGATTTTTCTCTCTCCACAATAACTAGTGTCATAATGCCCTTACCTTTTTTCTGACGTGAGTTTTAAAGTGTTTTTTTTTAAACACTCTTACTTCCTAAGTCATATGGCTAGAAAAGTTTGGGTCAAACACTTGTAAATCTGATGACTATAAGAAGGAAAAGCCTTTGAGTGAATGAAGAAATGAGTTTTATTCTCACAACACAAACTTCTGGATGTGCACAGACTGTGATTCTACCGTGGCCTGCTCAATCCAGATGAAGCTGTTTATATATTTTTTAAAAAGCTACAATAAGTATAATACTTGTGTTTAGGGGCAATTATTGTTGGTGTCTCCATTCAGAAACAGACTATGCTGAGGCAGATTATAAGAAGCAAATATGTATGAGGGGAGACATAGGAGAAAACCTGCTTGAAACCACGCTACCCACTGGTTTCTGTCACTGGTGACTTTCCTATCTATGCTCTTGGTGCCACAGAAAAATATTTCTCGGGGTGAGTTTTACAATCAGTAACCATGACTATTTCTCTTTAAAAAAATAAAGGTAAAAAGTGCTTATCTAGCACCACCATTCTCCTCCCACCTTCTTGGGGGAAAATGTCTACACTTATCAACTCATCTTCCCCACCTTAAACAGTAACTTTATTTCATCCTCCATAATTTGGTTTGGGTGTATCTACTTGATATCTTTCTACTCCTTCCCAGAAGAATTTATCAAGTTACTTTCCTTGAAACCTGGGCATTGAAGCTTTCAGTTACCAACCCCCAGAAGTTTCTAATCTCTATCACATAATCTGATGCCCAAAATGCTGAGACAGCAGGAGTCCCCAAAAGCCTGAGTCCAGTGAATGCAAGCAGAGTAACTAACCTCAGGAAAGAGGGACCTTAGACATTCTTTAAGATGTACTAGAGCATCACTTCAAAAGATTATACCAGCTGCAGGTCTCCAGGAAGGAGGTATTTTCTAATTCATCTGGTACTCAGCAGTTAAGAGAAGGGACACTCTTTATTTCAAAGAAGGGCACCAAGAAGACCTTGAGGGAGTGCCTGGCTCTGAAAAGGGCATTCAGAAGTACCAACTGGAGGAGGCGCAAGTGGGCTCATGTGGGTTATATGTCCTCTAGGAGAGAATATTAATGGTTCTTAACCAAAGACTTATATTAGAATCATCTGGAGAGATTTTTCAAAACAGAATCTTCGACTCCATCCTGTATTTACAAAACAAATAAACCAACTCCTAAATCTGGGACCTGGCACACCTAATTTTTGAAAAAGTTTCTAATAAATAGCCTGTGCTTCTCAGGGAATTCTTAAACCAACTGGAGCCCTTTAACCATGGAAAAGATGTGAAAAGCTCTTCTAGGGCAGCAGTGCTAAACCATTCTGCCCTGAGGACCCTTTTGATAAACACATGAAAGTCAGGGACCTTCTTTTTGCAAATTGTACATGTAATGTTCCCACCAAAACTTCAAGGGTTTCAGGAGACCCTAAAACCTATCTCTGGGTTTCTACTCTAGATAAGTTCTCTGAGAAGCTGGCACACCCAAATTGGCAGCAGCAGACACAGTGGTTATGAACATGGACTCAGGGACCAGACCAGACCACCTGACCAACAGAGTCAAATGAGGACTCTGTTCCTTATTAGCTGAGGCAGGAGTACTCAGCTCAGTCTCTTGCCTAAAGAATGGAGATAACCACAACACTAAACGCATGGGGTTGTTATGAGGCAAGTTAATATTTGCAAAGCACTTAGAACGGTGACTGACTTCAGTTAAGTACTGTTGGCAAATGTTTCCTAAAGAAAAGTTCCCTCTTCTTTCACCATTTTCTGCTGTATACTTTACTCAAGAATTTTTCATAATTAAGGATAACCACATTAGACGTATCTGAAATCTTACACATGCTCAAATGTAGTATTCCAACTATGCTAATGAGAGACATCGAGACTGCTCCTGGTCAAACGTCATCTCCTTATAGGATCAACTGCACACAGCACTCCTTGGAAGAATTGGTTCACCTCTATTACATTAGCTCTTCAAAGTCTGCATTTTGCTGCTCTCAAACTTTTACTCTTTTGTAGAGTAAAACGTAGCCTGTAAAATGCAGGCTAGAACTGCATTTATTTCAAATGTATATGGTTCCCTTGGACGTGGCCCCTGTCTATCTCTCTAGTCCATTTCCTTAACATCAAGCCTATCAAAGTAGCTTCCTGCTCTCCAAACATTAATGTTGTTCTTTTCCTAAAGCTTCATCTGTCTGGAAAATATCTATGTAATCTGAAGATCTAGTTCAAACTTGGCAAGTATTTCTCAGGAAGGTTCTAACTCCCCTCCATTGCACCCACACCATGCACTTCCACCACAGTATAAATAGGTATTTATCTCTGCCTCCTCCCCCACAACACAATGGTCTCTCGCCCATGCAGGGGCTCTCATCTTCACTCACATCTCAGTGACTCAATAAATATTTGTCCCCTTTCATTAAAGGGAAGAAGTTGAGCAAATGGAATGAAACACTGGTTTCTCAACCTTTTTTTTTTTCTAACCCTCCCTATCACTCATAGGCAAAACATAATTTCACCACTAACACGGCTCATTAGGCATATGGATACATGACAGGGCAAGGATGGGGCAAATATAGGATGACATGTGGGTTCACCTGGTTTCAAATCACTGAACTAGATGTGGAGGAAGAATAACATAGGTGGTAGATCACAACCCAAAGAATACGAGAATCTCTAAAAATATGCCAATAACTCTATGGGAGTCCAGGCCAAAAAAAGAATCAAGGAAAACACAGTACGAAGCCAGTTCAATTTTAGCCAGGCGGCTACTCTGAAATAGAACTGAGTAAACCTTATAGTATGATACTGATTGCTTCAGAGGGAGAAAGGGGAGTTCTTTGTTTTCTTATTTTGAAATTCACTATCCTAACAGGTACAGAGCAGAAAGACATAATCCATACAAGCTGGAGAAGTACCTTCTAAGAGCTTTCACAGTGATGTTTAGCCTGCCTATGGCAAATCAATTATCACATACATATCCAACTGCCTACTTAGTATCTTCACCTGGATAACAAATGGATACCTCAAAATGAACATGTCCAAAACCAAATTCTTGATCGTCTCTCCCCATCCCTAAATGGAACCTCCTGCTGACTTTCCAAACCCAGTAAACGAAATACTGCAAAGCTCCCTATGGTGTCTCTGCTTCTGCACTTGTTTTTTCCACCTTCAACACCTAACTTCCCAGCCTCTTCTCAACATAGCATCAGAGTGATCTTAAAATGTTTATCAGTTCATAGATACCTCCGTGTTTGAGCCTCCAATGGTTTCCCAAAGTTATAACTGGCTCTGGTCAGATGCCTGTCAGCTCTCTGCTGTCACATGCTGGGACCCTCGTGTCAGCCATGGGAGCCAGCTGCTGTGCCTTGCACACACCAGGCATCCCCTATCTCATAACCTTTTGCTGTTTCCTCTGTCCAAAATTCTCTTCCACCAGAAATCTGCAAGGTTTATTCTGGCCTCCTTTAGGTCTTCGCTTTAATCAAGCATTATCTTCTCATGTAGGTCTTCCATAACCAACGTATTTATGAAATCATACCGCCCAATCTCTACCTCCAGGACTCCCTAGCTCAGGCTCTGCTTTTTCTCCCATTTGCTCTTATCTGACACACATTTTTACTGATTGGTTGGTGCACTGCCTGAACCTGTGCCACATAATGCACCTCCAGGAAAATGCAAGCTCCACACGGTCGGGGATTTTTGTCTCTTGTTTACTATTCGATCCTCAGTTTCTGAAACAGTGACTGGCAGAGTCACTCAGTAAGTAAGGCTCAGTAAGAATAATGACTGTAAAATACATGGCTCTAAGTTCCTGACAGCCACTGGGCTTAGATAAGACATGAACTTGGACTAAGTTTCCAAAAGGACAGTACTTCTCAGTTTTCCCAGTGTACTTCCTTTAACAGAGGAAGAAAGAATGGACATATATACTGGGGTGGAGGTAGGGGTAAGGATCAGGATTAGCGGCACAGTATGAAATAGCCCATAAGAACAAAATTTCTTTGAACTTCTGTGCTATTCCATAATGAATCCAAGTGTTTTAATAGGAAATGTGTTTCTTCATTTACCTTTAAACAAAACTGATGCTCCAGGAGAATATACCATGTGTATTCTTCAGCCTCAAGTACTTCCTAACAAGGTGGTTTTATTTTATTTTTACAAGGTGGTTTTACTGTGGGTCACGGCCAATTGGTGGTTCTTAAAATTTGTTTAATGGGATGTAACTGGCATAAAATAATATAATAGATGGGACTTCCCTAGAGGTCCAGTGGTTAAGACTCATGCTTCCGGCAGCGGGGCCTGTGCGCCTGGCGAGTGCCGCCCGGGCCTCGGCCGCCCGCCCGTCTGAGCCACCTCTTTGCCTCGGCAGCTGGTCCAGGACAAGAACGTGCGCGGGGTGATCACCATGAACGAGGAGTATGAGACGAGGTTCCTGTGCAACTCCTCCAAGGAGTGGAGGAAAGAGGG